CCCTGATGAACTGTGACCTGGGATATGTAAGCTAAATAAACCCTTTCCTCCCCAAGTTGGTAGTGGTCAGAGTATTTTGTCACAGCAAAGAAGAAACAAACTAAGACACTATCTATCATCTATCTATGATCTATCTATCAATCATCTCTCTATCAATCATCTATCTATCATCTATTATCTAGCGATCTATTTATCTATGGAAGACTATGTTAATACAATGCCATTTTCATTTTTCTTCTTTCATATAGAAAAATTCAAGTTTATTTAGAGATAAACTTCTGAACCATACGCTTTATTGATGGAAATAATAATGGAGTTGTTATGAAACTGTACTATTTTATACAAAAGACTTAAATATCTGTAGATATTGATTGATACCTGTAGAAATTCTAGAAACCAACCAAGGAAGGACTCCATATATCCTTTTACCATCCTAATAAGATCAAGGACTGTGGGCAGTCATGAAGCATCAGTATACATGTCAGTCAGCAGACACTGCAACTGTACACTGGAATGGAGATTTGTCCATCAAGGAGCTCACAGTCTCATTGGAGACACTGATGGGTAAAATGAAATTTCAGTGCAGCACAACAGGCTATCTGAGGTGGGACAAGGGTGCTTGGGAACACTAAACAGGCTGGTGGATTGACTTTCCCAGGGAAAGGTCAGAGAATGGGTGTTGATCTTCATTAATGGCTTCTCTAAGTCCTCTCTCTGCTCTGGAAGGCTGACCAGTACAGCCCTCATCTGTGAACTGTCACTTGCTCCAGTAACAAGTGCTGACCAGGCCCCTGCAATCTACAAGGCACAGCACTGAATAAAACAAACCTGATTCTTGCCTTCAGAACTAATCATCTCTTAGGAAAAGACTGATCGATTAGAAGCAGTCACAGGCTATGTGGGACTTGTCACATGCTGGGGTTTGAATGTTGGGGTCCCCTCAGTTCATACACTGAAGTCTTATATCTAGTGTGGAATGAAGAGGCTGGACTTGGAGAGATGACTAGGTCATTAAGGTCAAGTCCTCATGAACGGGACTAGTCACTCCATCAAAGAGACCCCAGAGACTTCTACCATGTGAAGACACAGCAAACGGACAGTCATGTGTAAAACAGAGCTCAGCCTCCCCCTCCCCCAGACACTGCATTTTCTGGCACCTTGATCTTGGAGTTTCAGTCTTCAGAAATGAGAAATAATTTCTGATGCTTCTAAGATACAGTTTATTGTAATAGCATCCTAAATAGAACAGAAAGATGATACTGAAAGCTGAACAAATGTCTGAAACAAGGAGACGGCATTGGAACTGGGCAATGGGTAGAGGCAGAAAAAAATTCTGAGGTTCATGTTAGAAAAAAGTCATGAGTAGATGAAAAGAACGGGCTTTGATGGTTTGTGTTTGCTCTGAGCAGACAGAATTCCTCCCCAGCAGGTTGGGGGCTTCTGCAGCCTCCTTCCCAGCCCACATCCAGAGAGAGGTACTCAGCAGGCCTTGGTCTGCACTCTCTGCCCTGGGCACAGGGCACCTCCATTCTGGGGCTCGGGGTTGTTACATTCTCTCCTTCTTTCCCGGGAGCCTGCTTTGCACCCAGCCCAGGAACTCCAACAGCTCCAGTGGCCATCTGCTTTGGCTCCTGCAGAGAAAACGTGCCAGAGGTTAGTGTCAGAGAAGCAGCTGGCTGGGGAGGTCGGGCGAGAGGCCACTCTGCTGCTCCCACATGGTCCCTTCTCAGGGAATTACCCTGGGTAGCCAACCAAGACCTCTGTGCTCACTGCCTTGCAGTTAATTTGAAACTCCAGACAGAGAGAGAAGAGGCCACTGGGGAGCCCATCTCATGAAATTGGAATCCACGGTAGCATGGAAGATGGATTGCAGAGCAAGGCAAGAAGCATGCTCCTCTGGGAGAACGACACCAAGTCACTGGAGGGTGTGAAGAGCCAGGACCATGGGCACCCTGAGGATTCAAAGCAAAGAGATGGCTAGAGATCTCTGGAGCAGATTGGTGAAGTTCTGGGGGAGAGTTTGAAAACAAAAGCCCTCAGATTCTGACAATAGGCCATGTATGTGACAAATTGTCTGCACAGAGCAGTCAAACACTTGCACTGAGTATGAAGTCTAGAAACCCAGGATACAGCCCTGCCCAGGCTTGCTAGCTCTCATAGGCTCTGCACCTCTGGGCAAGTCCATCTCTTCTGGAAAGCTAGGGTTTTGACTTTATACGAAGGATAGTTTAATCCAATGAGGATTCTTCATCATTATTTTTATCACTTTCTTTTCCCTAAATGAACTCTTCCATGAACCCCAACATCTAAGTCAGATGAAAGCAGGGTCATTCTATTTGAAGCTAGGGTGACTATTGGGCTCACCCTCCTCCCCTGATGCAAGCCCTAGCACCCCAGGGTTCCTCAGATCTCAGTGTGACTATTATTGGATTAGATTATCTCCCAGTCCCTTCCAGCACTGTAATTATACTCCCTGATGGGGCAGCCACAGCAGGATTCTCTGTCTCTATTCCTCCCACCTCTGTTACTCTGTCCCTACAGACAAAGGTTTGCTGGGAAATTTTTCCAGGGGTCCTAATAGGTCTCTGTGTAAGCTGTCAGATTCCCAAGACTTGGGTTTCTTTGCCAGCTTAATCTCTGTCAGGCTGAAAGTTCAGTGGGATACCCATGAGACCACCTGATGTCCACACTCTGCTTGGAACAAGGTTAATGGAGCTCTGTGAGATGCAGGCAGCTAGCTGAATCTAAGAAAAGTGAATGTAGGAAGATTGGACCTGGAACGGAGCTCTTGGTCCCCTACCTTCACCCCTCCCACCTCTGTTACTCTGTCCCTACAGACAAAGGTTTGCTGGGAAATTTTTCCAGGGGTCCTAATAGGTCTCTGTGTAAGCTGTCAGATTCCCAAGACTTGGGTTTCTTTGCCAGCTTAATCTCTGTCAGGCTGAAAGTTCAGTGGGATACCCATGAGACCACCTGATGTCCACACCCTGCTTGGAACAAGGTTAATGGAGCTCCGTGAGATGCAGGCAGCTAGCTGAATCTAAGAAAAGTGAATGCAGGAAGATTGGACCTGGAACGGAGCTCTTGGTCCCCTACCTTCACCCTGACCGTTAGCCTCTTGCCCCTCCTCCAATGTCCGTGGTATGTGCACATGGCTCAGCATGATTGCCACTGAACCTGGTATCCATCCTGGGAGAGTGTGTAGATGGCTCACCTTCTCTCTGTCTCTTTGCAATGTGCATTGGGCTCTAGAAGAGCAACAAGCAGAATTGCCAAGCCAAGGACCACATTTGAGTCATGAAATCATGTTAGCTGATAACCATGAACTGGCACATGCCTGTTTTCCACTCCTGTAAGTGATAGTCACTGAAATTGTCTCTAAGCCTCTACTCTCTTGAAACTTTGGGAACCGTGTAACTCAGGATGTGACTCAGGGGTATAATGGTCAAGCCTGGCATCAGCCCACCTAGGTCCAGCTCCCTGCTCATCATTTTCCAGCTACACGACCTTCAGCAAGTTATCTAACATTCTTCCTGCCCCAGGTTCCTCATCTGTAAAGTGACGTTAATGATATCATTTATCTTCTAAGGGTCTTGGGGAAACGGACGGGTTCATGTATAGGAATGTGCTGCTGTGGTGGTTGGAATGGAATAAGGGTTAGTACTTCTGTCCAGTGCCCTTGGTCAATGGAAAAGCTGCCGGGCTGAGGGGGCTGCAACCCAGGGCTCTGAACCCTGGGCCCTGAGAGAGGCTGTCTCAGGCCAGAGTGGCTTTTTCTCTCCCAATTCACTAACTCCCAGTTATTCGGAGAGTGGGTTTTCTCAAACTCCCAGGAGGAAAGAGTGTGGCAGACTTGGCCCTGGTAGCTGGCGGTGTTGGTTTTTAGTCTCTGTATCCTCTGCATTCTCTCTATCTCTCAGAACTTGGCTGTCCCTCACCCTCCTGGGTCATTACTCCCAGGACACCTCCTACAGGATACCAGACAGCTCTTTGGGACCCAAACTCTCCTGTGAGAGTCAGACAAGGAGCCACTCCAGGTCACACTCTCAGTCCCTGGTACATCCTGTACGACACAGCCTCATTCTTCAAGTTGGTCTCTCGGAACCTGCCATGTGCCAAGAGTCAGACAAGGAGCCACTCCAGGTCACACTCTCAGTCCCTGGTACATCCCGTACACACAGCCTCATTCTTCAAGTTGCTCTCTCGGAACCTGCCATGTGCCGTAGCTGGTTTAGTCTGCAACACTGCCTGTGAGGTCTGTATTGCTACAGCCTCACTTTATAGTGTGTACCTACCTACATGAGATCTGGTGGCACTAGAATTCAAAATCATGTTTGACCTCAGGGCTATGATGTCCTGTTTCCCATTTGGAACATCTCTCCCAAGGAGGGAACAATAACCCATTATTATCTCATTTTAAAACCAAATCTGCTACTTCTGGTTCTTCCCAGCCAAGGTGAATTTGATGGGTTTTCACTTCAGATTATTACTATGTATCATTTTGTCATTCCCTTGAGTCAAGACTCAGAGATGCTGGGGTAGAAGAGACCTTGAAGCCATCTTACCAACTGGATGAAAGAACTCCATCTGGGACTTTTCGACAGTCTTCGTCTCTCACTCCACACATGCCAGAGTGGATCTGAAGAAAGTCCTTCCTCACTAAGCCACTATCCCTCTGCTCCATTAGTCCTACAACTTCATCTTGGTGGCCACACAGATCAAGTCTCAGACCTTCACACATGGTGGTTCTCAGGAGTTGTTCCTCCCGAGTCTTTTTCAGTGCCAATAATTTCCAATTTTTCCAGCTCTTCCTCTTAGACTATAGATTTGGATCTTCTAACTCCTCTTAGTTACCCATTTAAAAAATTATTTATTATGTTTATTTTGTGTGTATGAGTGTATTGCCTGTATGTATATAAGTGCACCCATGTCATACAATGACTGCAGAGATCTGAAGAGAGCATTGGATCCCTTTGACCTGGAGTTATGGATAGTTAGCTGCCATGTGGGTGCTGGGATTCGAACTGGGGTCCTCTGCAACGGTAGCCAGTGCTCTTAACCACTGACTCATCTCTCCAGGCCCTTCATTGCCCATTCTTGCCATGTGAGAAGAATTACATTCTAGCTCTTGACCTCTATTAACCTAGCCCCTTGCTCTGGGGACATTGAATCATGGTTTCAACTTCCACTGAGTCAACCAAGGCTTCATACTTCATTCTTTTCCTACATACAGCTGTTGAACCAATGGCTCCCACCCATCCGTTCTGTGCTTGAACAGGTTGTTTATGGACACAACACCTTAGATTTACCCATCCACACTTCTTTTTTCTTATCTATATATTATTCCTTACAATAGCCACATGAAAATGATTTATAGGTAGAGTTGGTAACCCATGCACTTTGCCTTTGTTCTGTGCATCATACAAACAGCAGTTTTTGTGTGCCTAGAAAGTTGAAAGCATGGGTATTGGAATGTGCATTGATATTCTTGGAGCTTGCCAGGCCTGGTGGCACAGGTTCACAATCCTAGCTACTTGAGAATTACAAGTTCAAGACCTGCCTGGGCAACTTAGTGAGATTCTGTCACAAAATAAAAAGTAAAAAGAAGACTGGGGCGTAAATAGATTTTAGAGCACTTTCCCTGCATGTGTAAGACCCCAAATTCTCTCTGGTACTGGAGTCGGGGACCAGGGATATGGAACTCAAAAGAAACTTAGATAGAACTGGTAAAGCCCCAGAAAGATGTGCTTAACCAGCGTCCCGGGGTGAGTTATTGAAATATCAGGAATTCAAATCCATGGTCTTCTGACTTCACTCCGAAGAGACAGAATTTTTAACCTTGTTGATAATTTTCTTCCATGGCCTCAGCTAAATTCACTTGGACGTTATTTGCCTCAACCTTGTGTTCAGTCTTAACTCCTCACCAGTGTAGAGTATTGGTAACTGTGGAGTTCCTCTAAAAGACAGATTCAGTTCTGAACCTGTTACTTGTGAACATAGCCTTATTTGGAAATTGGATCATTCTGATGAAATCACATTAAGATAAAGTCATGCCTATGGGCTGAACTCTAATCTAATGACATGTATCCCCCCCCTCCTTTTTTTTTTTTTTGTCTTTTTTGAGACAGGGTCTCTCTGTAGCCTCAGCTGTACTGGAACTCACTAGGTAGACCAGGCTGGCCTTGAACTTACAGAGATCTGCCTGCCTCTGCCTCCTAAGTGCTGGGATTAAAGGCATGTGATATATATTCTTATAAGGAGAGAAAAACAGAGACAAAAAGGGCAGACTATCATATGACAATGAGGCAGAGATGGGAGTGATAGATTTACAAACTAAAGAATTCCAAGATCCACTCACAACCACTAGAAGCCAAGAGAGGCATGGGTAATGTCCTCCCTAGAGGCTCCAGATGGGAGCAACTTTCCCTGCGTATCTGGGATTTGTACTTCAGGATTCTGGGAAAACCAGATAACAAAAGGTCTTGATGGCCAGGAGAAAGTATAAGAACCATTAAACATGAGGAATCTGCAAGGAAATTTGAGTGTGGCATTCTCGGGTAGTGGATGAGGGGCCCCGGAGAGAAAAGGCTAGGAATCCCAGAGGTTCCTTATGTACTGGCCCCTTAGAGCCGGGCCATCCTGGGGAGAGTAGGGTGCATGGGTCTTACCATCCAGCTCCACCTGCTCACAGGCAGGGCCCTGCTGACCCAGGCTGCACTGACACCGGCAGCTGGTGCCTTCAAGGACAGGCTCCCCGTTGTTAAAGCAGGGCCCACAACGGCAGGCATTGAATTCCATCAGATACTGGTCCAAGGCCTGGCGTAGGTTCTGACGTTTGGCCTCCAGAGGTCCCAGGTTTGTGTGTTCCAGCAGCTGGTGGATGGGCTGCACCTGTGGGCACCAGACAAGCACAGGGCACATCCCTGGACTATGCCCGCCTTCCCAGATCCCAAGAACTGGCTGTAAAGCTCCTGAAAGACCTACTGAATGAAAAGCATAGAGGCAAATGCTCTTTTTTCTTGCCATTCTGGATCCCCACAACTGCTCTGTGAATGGGCGCTAAGCACCCCATCTCACAGATAAGGAAGTGGGGACTGAGAATGGTCACATGACTATGTCAGGATCACATGATTATTCAGTGCAAGAACCATTCTGAACATGGATTTAAATAACTGTGTAACCTGTGCTCTCCCAACTCCAGAGTAGGAAGAGCACTCGGAAGCTGCTTGCCAACTTGCTGCCTCCAGATCTTTGGAAAGCAAGAAAAGGGGAATGGGTGTGATTCTGTGTTTAGGGGTATTTTCTGGTTTTGTCCATCACCCTGCAATGCAGGCATTGGTAAAGGTAGTTTTGTTGCTGTTGAAAAGCAATTCTCCTAATATGTAAGTGTTGGGGGGTGTGCTGGTAAATGAATGTTGACATGTGAGGTGACCAGGGTTTCCCAGACTCAGCACTACTGACTGAACTGAAGAATGTGCTGACAGGAGTGTGTCCCGTGCATCATGACCTGCTGCGTAGCAGTACCCCGGCCTCTGCACACTGGACTTGTTTTCAGATCCCAGTTCTCCCACTTCCAGGTGTGGGATTTTCGGCATGTGACCCGCTGCACCGCCCTTCCTCATCTTCATATGGAAACCATCGTCACATCCTCTGGGTTTAGTGTGAGGACTGAGGGAGATGACACATGGAACAAGCCTTGTCACGCAGAAAAGTGAATTCTTCTCAGTGCCCAGCACACACTGGACTTGTTTTCAGATCCCAGTTCTCCCACTTCCAGGTGTGGGATTTTCGGCATGTGACCCGCTGCACCGCCCTTCCTCATCTTCATATGGAAACCATCGTCACATCCTCTGGGTTTAGTGTGAGGACTGAGGGAGATGACATGTGGAACAAGCCTTGTCATGCAGAAAAGTGAATTCTTCTCAGTGCCCAGCGCTGGGAATGGTATCTACTTCCTTGAATCCTTATGACCTAAGTAATTTATGAATGCAAGACCCCAATGTGAGAGAGTGAACAACAAATATAAATATGTAATAAAGCGTTATTTCCATTAGAAATTACAGGAGTAATTTTTTATTTTTAAAAGGCAGGAGGACTGGGGAGATGGCCCAGTGAGTAAAGGGCTCACTGTGCAAGCATGAGGTCCCGAGTTAGAATCCTCAACGCCCGTGAAAAAACTGGGTGCTGTGGCCTGAGCCTATAACCCCAACACCAGGAGGTGGAGACAGTAGGATCCTGGGGACTTCCTGGCCATCCAGTCTAGCCCATCTATGAGCTCCAAGTTTAGTGAGAGACCCTCCAAATATAAGGTGGATAACCATAGAAGATGTCTGACATCAACGTCTGGCTTCTGGAACATGCCTGGGTAAGCATGTGTGTATGTACGCACAGAGCCAATGCTTTTCAAGTTGCATGTACATAGGATTATCTTACACCCTTATAATGTTATATATGTTCATCGTAGACAAAAGCTTTTCCGACGAGCTCTCATTTTAAGGGGGAGGAACTCAAGGCCCCAACGGGGGAAGCGATTGTCAAGGTCACAGACCAAGTCAGTGATAGGATGGAGACACCCTGGGTCAGTCCCACTTCTCTGGAGGCAAAAGTCAAAAGCAGGCACATCCCAGCAGCCTTGACAGGTTCCTGGAAATGTGGATACAAAGGCTGGTGGCAAATAGACCTTAGTGAGAGGTCAGAGGCCACCGTAGAGGTCTCCTGGCAGAAGAGATCAGGATTGGTTTTGGGCCCCAGCCAAAGGAATAAGATCACTTACTGGAAGTTCAGGAAATTTGACCCATTGTTAGGACAGCCATGTAGGATTGGCTAGCCTGTAGCCTTGATTAAAGCTGACCCTTAATTCCAGGGAAGACCAGGCCCCTTGGACAGCTTCCTTTGACTTTGCAGTGAGCTCAGCACTCAAGTCTCTATCTCCCCACCAGGACCCCAAGGAAACCCTTCCGGAGAACACTGGTGATTTTAATTTTTTACATAGTAAAGGAAAATTTATTATATATTAGGATAAATAAACTTGAGTAATAGAAAACAATTATTTTAGTCAGGTGTGGTGGCACACATCTGTGATCCCAGCACTGGGGAGGTTGAACCAGGAATACAAAGAGTCTGAAGTCTGTCTCACAGCAAGACCTTGTCGAAAGAAAAATGTTGTTTTAAATTTAAGTGCTCTTGAAAATTCCAATCTATGTGTCTCCTAAAGGTGCACAAGAAGACAGAGACCATTTGTCTTGGTCATGGAATGTGGAAGAACCAATGGAACTCACAACCACGTCATGAGAACCAAATGGCATACATTCTTACCATATGTGGTTGACACAGGGACAATATATCTCATGCAGTAGGGAAGAAGAGGAGAAAAGAGAAGACAAAGTCTAACAAAAAAGCCCCAATTATTTCTGGGCGCTTTACAGCCCAAGAATACACTAAACTCTTCTTAAGCTTAAGTCCTCAAAAATTAAAAGAGAAATCTATATGGAGAGGGGGGAGGAAAGGAGAGAGAAAGAGATGGGGTAGAGAGAGGGGAGGAAGGGATGGAGAGATGAAGGGAGGTGGGAGTGGAAGGTAGGTACCTTACAGCTGAGACTGAGGCCACCTGAATTTATAACAAAGTGCTCCAACTGTAAAACATACTAACTTTGGGCCATAAAATTTGGAAAAATGCATTTGGTATTCAAACATGTTGCAATAAAGCTGGGTGTAGTGGTACACACCGAGACTGATGATTTGTAAGGAAGAGAAAGGGATAGAAAAGAAAGGGTCACAGAGCTTTAGAATTTGAAAACTTACTGGCAATGACTTTATCCCAGTTTGCAGACAAGCAAACAGATTCAAGAAGGCAGTAAAGGAATAACCCAGCATAAGCCAAAGTGTATATAACACAACACAGATGGCTAAATGCAGGTGAGTGCCACTGTTTCTACTCAGAGGCCCCAATAACCCGTAACTGTGGCTTAGTGCACATCTGAGGGTATAATGAAGGTTGTGAAGAGATTGTACAGTCAATGGGACATGGATCAAGTTAGGTTTGGTCATTTCCTTGCTAACCCATTCTTATAATGGTCACAACTCTGTGGACCTGCTTCCTTAACAAACATTTCCTAAGTATCCCCTCTTTAACTTTGTAATCTGTCATTCTGTATTATGGAGCAGGAAAGTAGAGCTTAGGGAGTGAAGGAATTGCCCAAGGTCACAGGTAGAAAAGGTGACTGAGCCATGGCCCAAACTATACCTCCTTTCAAACCCCAGGCTCTTTTCTCCAAAGACTATTCAGTCTCCAAACTGTGAACCTGTCTTCCCTTGGAACTTTTGCTCAAGGCAAACACAAAGTTCACCTCTTGACTGTGAAAGTTTATATATTTCTCCTGATATCAATTTTACAGTTTTGCCCAAATCACTAATGGCTTGATGATAGCAATTTTCAAGCCCTATGTGAATTACAGGTGCGTGAAAGTGGTCCCTTACTCATTGAAGAAGAAATGAAATCAAGGTTAATCCATCTGACCTCTTTCTTCATAGAAACCAGGATGTTATAATAGGCTTCTAGGTTTAACTGTTGGTATGTGTTTTAGACCTGTATCTGTACTAGGAATCCTAAATACATGTAGAAAAATAGGCAACGATAAAGAGAAAATAGCTGTGAAATGATATTTCTCTTAAAAGTTTGACATAGAACTTTTTAAAAAGGGGGACTACCTTAATGAAAAGCAGTTGGACAGCAAGAAGAACCCAGTTCCTTTATATGCAGTGTGCCCCCTTTGTGAGGTTACCAACAGAAGCCAACTTTTCTCAACTTTGTTGATTGTTCAGGTCAGAGAAATTTTGTTGGGAGGCTGGCATGTTCCCTTGTGGGGTTCTTAGCAGCATTCCTGGCCTCTTCTTCTAGATCTCAGCCGCACTTCTCCTGCCTGCCACCAAGCATGTTGCCACATTGGCCCTGGGCAACAGAATCACCCCCCCTCACAGCTGAGAGCCAGTGTTTTAAGGCAAGTGCTGGGATAGGAGGAGTGAAACTGAACACACAGTACAAAGGTCTGAAATCCAGGCACTGTCTCATATGAGCTATGTGGCCCTAAGCAGTTCATGTGGCTTCTCTGGGCTTGCTTCCTAATCTACTCAGTAATTATCGCATGCCCCTTTAAAGAAAAGGTTTGTAAGCCCCTGATATACCAGATGTGATTTTTAAAAAATTCGTTTGTGCGTAAATGCAAGTTGGTATTTAATATCCTTAACCTGCACAGCTTCTGAGAGCACCAGTGGTCACCTGGGCCCTGAGCAGACAGTAACTTTCTGACCCTAGCTGTCCTGTGGCCCTAGCTGCCTAAAGCCATGCCTCCCTCTAGGCAGGCTTGGACAAGGCCACTGGTCCAGTGTGCCGTTACATTTAATCTTGTTCTTTGATGGGCTCATAATAAGAAATATGAAATGATCTGGTCGGCTTCACTTTCATTCCTCATGGACGTAGGGTTTCTTCAACTGCGAAAAGGCTTACCTCGAAATCGATAACAACAGGATTGTACTTTAATGATCTCCCCCAGGACCGGTATGTAATGGTGCTGCTGTTTTGTGTCAAGCCACTGCCCCAGCCAGAACTGCCACCTCGCACCCGAGAAATGATGTCCTCCACTGCCATGGATTTCTTGTCTTTTGCCCCTATCGAAAAGATGACAGTGTTAGCTTCCCTCCCCCAAAGCTGAAGGACTGGATGGCAGGTTCCACTGGTGAATGCTCTCCTTAGAGCTACGAGCCTTTTAGTCTGCCTGACCAACGAGCAGCATGAGGAAGAAGGAAGGACCAAGAAAGAATTAGAAATGCTCATCCTCTGAGTGAAGACATGGAAAAGATGGCTCAGCCCAATCCAACATGGAAGGTAAACAGGTGGGAAGATCAGTGATTGCTCATTCATGGGTCAGATGCTTACTTAGTGCCTGCCACATGCCAAGAAGGGTCAATCAATCAAATATTGCAGATGCTATGACAGATATTGCTATGAGGGCAGTCAAGGGGGGAGGTTGAGAAAGAAAGAGGAATTATCTGAAAAGTGAATGTTTCAGAGTTAAAAGGAGAGAGACTGAAAGAACATTAGAGACAGAGAGGTGATTTGGCTTAACCACTCAGGCGTAAGTAACCTAAGCCATGGGTATAATGTAAGCCTTCGCCTGCTGCGTCATAAACTGTTTTCATAATCTTTGGAGTCTCTGTCCCTCTCCTGAAAAGAAAATACTTGATATGCATTTGATAGGTAAATGAGTGGATGAATATATAAACACTCACACTGATGTCTTCAAGAAATTTCGAATATCCACATACATTCTTTCCCTGGCCGTTATTCCTCAACCTTGGACTTGGGGCCACAATCTCCTCTCCCGAAGACTTGCCTATTCCCTCCACACTTTTACCTGTAAGACCACAGCAGGCCACCGTCCAGACACTGGCTACACCTTTTCCCATTTCTTGCTGGAGTCTTTGCCTATTCCTTGAAATCTAGGCCGGCTCCCTAGACTACGAAGTTTTCCTGACAGAATTTCAGTGGTTTTGATTCAAAAGAGAGACACTCTATACGGGTCAAGACTTGGGGTACTTAGCATATGAAATGTGACTACTGAGCAAAATGGAATTAGTAAGAGAAGAAAATCACGCCCGTGGATTGTGCGTCTGAAGGCAAGTCTGGCTTCTGTTGTAGAAGGACCTGCTGAAAACACTTGCCGGTTTCGCCGGTTCCAGACTTGTCACAAGAACTTCCTGATAGAGTTCCTCTGATGTTGACTATATTGTCATACTCGAAGCCTCCAGTCCCTCCAAGGCACGTTTTGATATGTTCCTCAGTAAAACCTGTAGGAGGAGACAGAAAAAATGCTGAGACTGGAAATGACAGGTGTAAGGTCCAACCAGCTCAGAGTACTAAATTCCAGCTTCCCCAGAGTCAGAGAAGACAGGCTTGAATTGCCAGCTCTTCAACCCAGTTTCACTTTTCTCTCTGTAGGGCTTCAATCCAAATCCTTATGGAAACGAAAAGGATGTGTACTGCATGTAGTACTTGCTTCAAGTCTGAGTGATCATATTTTTTTTTTTAATTATTTATGTCCAGGTGCTTTTTGCACCTCAGAAGGATCAGATCACCATGGGAAGTTGGCCTGCTCTCCAGACCCCACAAAGACTGTCAATCTTTTGTTGGCTTTGTCTGAATTTGTCTTCATCTAAGGATCCACTGAGGAACCTATGGTTTTCAGAGAGAGGGAAACAATCGTTAAAGCAATGAAGTATTTTTGGTTAGATGAGAAGACTCAGTGGACTCACTGTACATAATGACCTGAGTTCTGTCTCCTGGACCCTCATGGTAGAAGGACAGAGCCTGCTTCTGCAGGTTGTCCTTTCACCTCCACATCAGTGTCACATTAGGCACCACACACACACACACACACACAGCGTAAATAAGTAAATATAATAATAATAGCAACAACAACAATGATAAAGTAGTTTGCTCTGATCTCACAGTCTGTCAATAAACAGAGGTGGTTTCAAAGGCTATGTTTGCCTTGGAAAGTAGACTGGAACTTCCTGTAGGGGTCAACTTTATCTGTAGCCAATAGGGTCTTCTAAAAGTTGTCAATTAGTCTGTGTTTTGAAACATCATTCCTTTTAACTACAAGTATAAATTAATTACCCATTGTGGGATTATTCTGGCTGACCCAAATAAAAAATTAATTGAGATCTGCCATTCAATTGAATTAAAGATTTGAGTCAATATTTTCCAGGGAGTATTGAGTACCAAACTGTATGTGCCTGTATCCCCCACTGAACTGCAAATTCTGTGAGGCCGAGGGCTTGTTCGTACTATTTTCTACTTAGCATATTAACACAGTGTCTGCAGTGGTTGGGGAGGGGTGTAGATTCAGAAGAAATGGTTGATGAATGAAAGAAACAAGTGAATCATAAGCATCATATGAGCCCTTTGGGAAGGTCTGCCAATGGAAGAAAGCTCACACCTTCAACTCCCAGGCACTGGCATCCTCTGTGAGCTCTGTGAAGGGCCGTGATCCCACTGGACTCAGTTTCCTGTGGAAAGAAGGGTTTACCCTCCCCTAGGCATCTTTCAGCTGCAGCCCTCTGTGACTCTATAAACATCAATGTCTGAACACTACTGGGGCTGAAAGTTGGTGTCTGGGGGAAGTGATGCCTACTTAGCACCAAGTAAAACACTTCTTCTGCCATTTTCACTGAAGTGCTTTTAATTTTTAATGCATAACTAATTGAGGAAGATTTAGCATATTTAATTGTTTTGATTAAAAAATGCTTCAACAGTGATAAACAAAAGCGGATGAAAAGAATTCACCGGCAGAAGCCAGGGTGATTAGGTGAACGGTGGAGTGCTGAATCTGTGACAGAGCTGCCTGGTGAGAGGGGGCTAGAGAGTGCCTGTGGAGTGACTGCACTCGGGATCTGCAGACAGCCTGTTGGGAGCTGCTGGGAGAGAATCCCAGCCTGGTTTGAGACAGGATGTTAGACTGCAGAGGTTTGCCGTCTGAGGACCCCAGAGTAGGGTCCTCGCTGGTAAGCAGAGGAATGAGTCACAGAGAATCATAGAAGCTGAGTGCTAAAGAGCCCTCAGACACCCAGCCCACAGCTCATTTATAGTCAAGATGCTTGGCGGATCACAAAGGTTAATTATCTTGCCTAAGGTCATGCAGATGAAGAAGGCAAAACTGAGATTCATGTGAACTTCTGCCTGCACAGAAACCTGAAGTACTTTCACTAATCCCTGTTGCATCAGACTAAAGCATCCTGCTCTTTGAGAGAAAAATCTAGTAGGCACCTACTGTGTACCACCCTGACACATTATGTGTTGGCTGTGCAGCCATCTTGAGATGAAACTAATATGGGTTGGATGTGAATTTGAATAAGTAAGGTCCTGTCTTGTGAGGCTAGCGGGTTTGAGACAAACTGAAGATGAGTCTGTGTCAGAGACTGCTTGTTTCTACACAGCAGAGCTGGATCAGGAGGGTCTCATCAGATGTGGGAGATGCTACAACAGAACTGTGCACACAAATGCAATGGGGATGCCAAGGACAGGAAGCTGGGCAGAGCAAAGGAGCTCAAACCTGCACCGAATCGCAGGAGCTGAAACTATTATTAGAAGCAATGACACAAATGCAGAGAGATGAAGGCAAAGAGGAGGGGCACGTTGGAGGGAACAGAAAAAGGTCTAGAGCTTCTGTGGAGAACTAGTGTGGCCTGGGCAGATGGGCCTGATCTGCAGAACCAGCTAGAACTCCATCAGTGATGGATACCCAGCCCATAAGACCACGTTCCGTAGGTGTTAATATTAGGCCAGACCAAAGTAGAATTTGTTTGGAGCTTTTGAACTCTGAACTCTGGAGCTGATAGTTCCCATACCTGACTACATACATGCTCAGTTCATCTGGGCTGTTGTTTAAAATACAGATTACTGGGCCCCATCTCCTTCTGTTCCGAATCTATATTTCTGATAAATCAAAAATCTGTGTTTTAAGTACGTATCTCAGATGATTCTTTTCTGGACCAAGGGGACTATTACAGTCCCAAGACAGTGTCTGGTAGCTCTCCCCAATTCACTGTGGCACGCACATACTCTGTTGTTATCAGTGCCTTTACCAATGCCTTGTATATGGACATAGACAGGCTCACTACATTTACTCAGAATAAGAACTGAGAAATACCAGGAGTAATTCAGATAAACATTCAGAGACTAGATGGATACACAGATTGAGCATAGCAAAACGAGACTCGGTTGGGAAAGCTGTTAACTTCCTACCCTGGGACAAAACACCAAACACAAGCATTATGAGGAATGGGTAGTGCTTGTCACAAAAGGCCTCAGAATTCTGGAGTCCTCCCAGCTCAGAAGGGTGATGAATCCAGAGAAAAGATAACTAGAAAAAAAATAAAGGTGGGATAATCTAGAGTAGAATTTGAGGACATTATCCTATGTGAAGAAAGTCAGGCACAGAACAAAGACCACATGCCTCCCCTTTAATAGGGTAACTAAAGTACTCAAACCTATTGAATTAAAGAGGATCCTAATAGTTGCCAGGTTTGGAGGGGGTGGGGAAGAGTTACTAATCAATAGATAGGAACTGGCACCAAATGGACAGAGGCTTCAGAAAGGTGAATTTAGGCTTCATATGGAAGGATCATCATGATGGTCAGAAGTCAAGCAGAGATGAGTCGATGCAGAAGACAGAGAGCTCCCGTTATGGACGAGGTTGAGCAGAGGCTAGCTGGCTGCCTGACTGGGATCCAGCAGAGAGGCGGGAAGAGTGGAAAGATCTGTGGCCTCAAGAAATTTCAGAATCTCACAGTGAGCTTTTTTCTGAAGCTTTAAGACCACACCAGAATGCTTTAAGAACATTTGAGGCAATCTGAAAAATAGAGAGTATTTTTTCACTGTGCATAAGGCATCTTGGGAATAAAGGAAGCTGAGGAGAGTTAGTAAACTTGGAGTCAAGTGTGGAGAGACAGGTTTGCTGTTTCAGAAGATCTCTGATATGGTACAGTAGGCCCATACAGGCCCCCTCTGAGGGTCGGAAGACCACCAGAGGAAAATGGAACAGGCAGCACTCAGCCAGACAACACAGGAGGATATAGAGTGGGGTGAGACCATGTGGGGAACTTGTGTCCCCAGCAGCAAGATGCTGCTCAGGAAGGCTGAACTCTAGATCCAAAAAGGGGATGCTGTCCCCGGGGTTGCGCCTCGCTCTGGTGCAAAAGACAGCTACGTGGCAATCCATGCATCTGGCCACCATGGCTACTGCCGGCTTCCCTGTTGCATACAGCTGTGTGGTACAAGAGCGAGAGCTGTACTCAGGCCTCTGCGCAGGTGCTGCTGAATCGGTGGTGCTCTGAGGAAGGAGAGGCAGCTTGACTTCTGAGGCACCAGAACACAGAACGTCTCTGTCATTCCTTAGATTAAAAGCACCAATTGGAAAACAGCAGGTGTAATGCATTATTTATCTCTTTACAACAAACAAATACCATTCAGGTGGCTGTGATCTATCCACTGGGTTGCTCTGCAATGCTGGTTGCCTGAAAAGATAGTCTCTGAAGGAAAAAGAGAATCATATTGTCTAGTCCTGCCATTGCCATGGGGAGATGATTGGTTAGTCAGTCTGGAGCTGGCTGGCTGAATCATGTTGACTAACTCCCCTGACCTCTTCACGTTTCTATTCATCCATTTAAACTTCACAATCATCTGATACATAGAAGACCATATGCCTTTGCATGCATATTCCTTACAGCTTTTCATTGAGCCTCTTCCTTTCATCTCCGCTAGCCTTTCTTCACCTCCATGGGGTCCCCCCAATACCTCTGTGCTTCCCTCCAGCACTGTATTTAGCACATCGATAGGAATTTTCTATTTCTTAGCCTATTTTTTTAATTAGATTGTAAACCATCCTTCAGTTTGACAAAGTTCAGTACAGAGCATGGCATGTGCCTAGCCCCAAGGAATGCTCAGGAACTGGCTAGTTCCACCCTCTCTAGACAACACCTCTGAAATGTTTGGAGAGTCACAAGTATTCTTATAATGAAAAATATAAATAATCAAAGCATTGTAATATGCACGATGAACAACTGATTTATTTATTTTTTTTGTCTTTTTTTGAGACAGGGTCTCCCTGTAGCCCCAGCTGTCCTGGAACTATGTAGAGCAGGCCAGCCTTGAACTCACAGAGATCCGCCTGCCTCTGCCTCCTGAGTGCTGGGATTAAAGGCGTGCGCCACCACACCCGGCGAACAATTGATGTTTTACAAAGCATTTTCATCTGTTTATCTCATTATCTCTTTCAGGTATCTTC